CTGCGGCTGTCTGTCATCCTCCATTCAGTGTTCGAACTGCGCATCGCGTTCGGTTACGACAGACGATGAAACTATCTCCAAGATGATTTAATGTTCCTAATATTATACTTGAAATTATTTAAAAAGGTGGTTTATTTATCTATTTACTTATTTATTTTTAATTGTTTATTATTATTATAGATTTATTTATTTTTCAGCCTTTTTGACAACACAATATACAGCTCGATATTTATGTATTTGCTCAGGAATGGCCTAAAAGGGTGATTTGTGTGTTTATTTATTTGTTTTTAATTGTTTATTATTATAGCTTTATTTTATTTTTCAGCACTCAATATACATCTTGGTTATCAATTTGCTCAGAAATAACTTAAATTGGTGATGTATTTATTTATGTATGTATTATTAATTATTATTATTATACATTTTTTTTTTATTTGACAACACTGAATATACAGTTCGATATGTATGTATTTGTTAAGGAGTGGCTTAAAAGGGTGATTTGTGTATATTTATTTGTTTTTAATTGTTTATTGTTATTATATATATTATATTATTTATATTATTTTTCAGCACTCGATATACATCTTAGTTATTCATTTGCGCAGAAATGACTTAAATTAGTGATTTATTTATCATTTTTATTATCATTTTTATTATTATATTTATTTTTTCAGCTTTTTGACAACACTGAATATACAGCTCAGTATTTATCTATTTGCTCAGAAAGGGCTTTTTTTATTGTTGTTTATTTTTCAGCCTTTTGGCAACACTGTGTGTCTTCATGTATTTGTCTGTCTATATGTATTCTATTCTATTCTATTCTATTTAGAGGAACCATCATTTCAGCCGAACAGCTATTGTAGAAAAAGTGGATTCAGTTCAGTTTTTAAATCTTTTGACATTTTCGCCATTTTCATTAAGCCTTGATTAATGTCTTTTTATATAAAGATGAACATCCGTGTACAGACGTTTATGATTAACATGCACATGCTGCTCTCTCCCGGTCCAGCCCTGACGGGCAGTGAGAGCGACGGCTCTCGTCTCATTGAGCAGTATGCGCCCTGTCCGTACTGCAGCTCTGGACCCCGGCTGTCCGACCCACTGCCTCTGTCCAGCTCCAGCCACAGCACCGTCCACTACTTCAACATGGAGGACTGCGTGCTGGCAGCCGTGGACAAGGAGCACATCAGCTGCCCCAACCACCCCAAACAGCCCGTCCCTCTACAGGAGCTGGTGCCTGAGCTCTTCATGACCGACTTCCCTTCACGGTATGATAACAGTTACGCTTTTAACCATCTGATGTATGTTCTTATACTAGTTTCTGTATGAAATGGTGTGTATAAAGTGAAAAAAACAGCTAAAAACCACAAAACAAAATCACAGACTTAAAATATATATACATATATTAGATGCAGTAGTAATAATCTTTTTGTTTGCATCTAGTTCCAATTTTTAAAAAAAACTATCAAGTTAATCTTTATTTCATCATACCAATTTCCAGATTAAAGGCACAATATGTAATTTTTTGCCACTAGAGGGCGCGTATTCAAAATAAACAAAGAGACAAAGGCCTAGTTTGATGACACCGTGACTGAGTGTGGAATCATGGGAGTTGTGGTCTTCATCCCCACAGCCGATGCAATCCGATGGTACTCGGGCAGAAATCATGTTCATGGATGAGCTAATGATTTATTAACGTAGTAGAATGAAGCAGGGTGAGGCTGAAAGCCGTCGAAGCGAAACGAAACCGCTGACCGAGCGTGACACACGGCTCGAAAGCAGCGGCGCTTTTATTATGCCACAGTCGACCGCTTCCGCTCCTTCCGGTCGTGTGTATGTGGGAAAAAAAGCAGCGCTGTTTTATCATAGTAGATACATTTGAAAGTTCTGTTATTATGCTACTCTGTGCGGTCGTCACCGGTCTAATAAAACGCACAACATATTAAAGCGTCTTTGGTGTTTCGAGAAAATCGAGGGGTTATAATGTCATTGGCAGGCGACACAATGACACTATGGACACGGTCCGTGTCACTAGTTAAAATAGCTTATTTCTCTGGATTTAAACATTCTTCGAAACATTTGGGATAATGTAAGTACACAAGTCAGCAAAATATATAACACTGTTCTAGTGGTTTTTGGATATTTTAATAAAAAAAATCTTACATATTCTGCCTTTAAATGGTTTAATGTGACACAAACCAGCAAAAAAAAAAACACAAAACATCACAGGATTCATCAAATTGAAGTCTAAAGCTGATGTTATTGTGGTTTTCCCACCAAAACGATGTAATTTCCTGGAGGCGCCAGCGCGATCACTTGCATTTTTTCTTATAACAGTGGAAACAACTTAAAATACACCGTCATTTTTGCTCATAAAGGTAAGAGTAGTACATCATTCGGAACTGCAAAGGGTCTACTTTTATTTGTGTGCACTCACAATGTCAGCAAAGCGTTGTGCTTTTTTAGAAAACAAACAGCGCTTTCTGCCGTCTCTGTCTCTCTGAACAGGAGCGCTTCACAAAAATAAACGGAAACTCAGCAAATACTTGCCTCACAGACATGATAAATATATCTAGAAAGTAGTGCTGGGCGGTATGAGCAAAAATTTATATCACAGTATTTTTCAAAATTATACCGGTTTCATGGTATATGATGGTATTTATTTTTTTCATGCATGACTGGGTGTTAACCACATTTTCCAGAGAGGAAATACTGCAGTAGATTGACTTGAATATTGTAGAAAAATTCCACACTGAATAGTGACTAAACACGACCCATTAATACATGTTAACCAGGAGTCAGTTTCCAAACCAAATTCAAATCCTGCATTTAACGGAGTTAAATAAATTATAATATTCAGTGATGTGATATGTTCTCTGTGTGGACAGTTGCAGCTTGTAGGCTACTTATTACTAAAACAAATATAAAGCAAACAATTAGCATTAATAGTCATTCATTTTAGTTGACATATGCTATGATAATTTGAACAGATTTTTTATTCTGAGTGTAAAATAATGGAACATTAGGTCATGAATATTGTCCCAAAAGTCATGGAAAAGTCATTATGGTCCTAATAACCAGCGCTCACATGGGTTTAATGGAGCTGAATCAGAGTGGGTTAGGCTTGAGTTCTAGCACACATACAAACAAGTGCTCTCGTCTCGGCATGATGTGTGTGTTTTCTGTGCGGTTGTGGTTCATCACATAAATTGGATTATTAATTCTGAAGTTAAAATGGAAGCAGAATCTGCAAGTTTGGTCTTTGAGCCACGTCAAACACATCTCTTTGAAGAGGTTCCTCTGCGACACAGGCCTGAAGTACAGTCCCGCTGGGACGTCATACTTTATATCGGTGTTGAAAATCACATCATTATGAATTGTGAAAAACCTCAAGGTTACTAGATTTGTGCATTTGGCAGAAACTCTCATCAGAAAAGTGACTTACAATACGTTCAGGTTTAGGTTTAGTTTTGTATGTTTCTTGGGAAATTGAGCTGCAAGCTGTTAAATCCAAAGCAACTCTAGCTGAAACATATTCACATGCCACTTTAATGTGAAAATCCATCAGAAATTAAAAAGATGAATTTGTGATGCCATGAATGTATAGACTGACCAATTTACTATATTGTGATTTACAAAGACATTTTTTAATAATTTGGAATAACATGCGATGATAAATTGTTCCAATTAAGATCAGGAACATGTATTAAGAAAGGGCTGATTTGAGTTTCATGTAGACTTTTATTAGAAAACATTAGAAAACGTGTAGTAATATTGTGAGCCAAGTAAACAGCACTTGTAGACTGGAATTTTTTGCTGAATTATTTAAAAAAACTCATTTTGGCACAAATTCAACATGACCACCTATTTATTTATTTTGGAATCATGCAACCCCATAATTGATTGCAGCAAGTACAAAATGTAGCAGACAGAGTCCAGAAAAATTTTATAAATATTTATACATATAATACTAATGCCAATACTAATATACTTATATAACATTTATAAGTAATTCAATAATATTTATTAAGTGTTTTTTTTGCAATTAGAAAGTGTCAATAGAAATAGTGTCATGCACACACACACACACACACACACATTTATTATTTATAATTATAGTTATTTAGTTATTGTATTTATAATTATATTATTATTTAAATTAATTATATTATATTAATAGTAATACCAATGCTACAATTTGTGTTTAGAATATATTTAGTAGTTATTTATATAATGAAAGAACAAATAAACTAATAAAAATGACAAAACTAAAATATAAAAAATATTAGCTCATTCAAAATATCAATAAATACTATAACAGTAAATAAATATTAAAAATAACACTGATGTCAGACTTATCAGATATTTGTGTATATGAATAATTGTATCTTTTGAAAAATCATTTTTGAAGTATTTAATTTGCTGTATTGTCCAAAAACAGCCATTCTTTCATGATTGTAACGATTGACTTTTGTTTTTAAAAATGTGAAGCTGTTTTTACTCTGTTAAACGTATTACATATTTGTTATGAAACATAATATCTTTTGGTTTGCATCCATCAAGTTACAAATCAGAGAATAAATCAAATTAGATGAAGGACCGTACTTTTATTAAGTGTTTAATTGACTGTATTATCCAAAAAATAGGCATGATTATCATGATGATTAAATCTAATGCTGAATTTCCAGGGAAAAAAACTATATTGTGATGAGATTTTGGTCACTCTGCCAATGCATAAATGTCCCGGTTTTTACTTACGGTTTAAGAATAAGATGGAAAATTGCTGATTCAGTTGTTGGTCTGAATAAATCAAGTTTATCTGCGAGTAAACAAAAACTGCTGATCACGACAAAACAGGTTAATGCTCATTAGAGCTGCTATTCACAACAGGCCTGTTATAAAGTCTCTTCAAAGAGAAAGTTGAAAGGTCACGGTTTGCGAGTAAAGCAGTTTAGCTTGGCCTTATTAGTATTTCCAAACTGTATTAAGAACATATTCCAGTAATTCTGCTGTTTTTCATCCTGACTGAAATCAAACCTTGCAAGTGACTGGTGTTGCTAAACTAATGACTCAATAGTCAGCATAAAAATACATAACACACACAAATATTATTTCATCCTTATTATTTAATATTATTGAGTCGTTTTTTTATTTAATCTATTATCTATTTATATGCTCAGATTGTTTATGTACTAGTCAGATTTTTTATATATGTGTAATTTTATATATATATATATAGTTTTAAATTTCTATAATAATTTCTGTAATTTATTAGAAATAAAGCATATATACTATATTACAATTATAATATATTATAAATATGAATACAACACACACACATACATACATACATACACACTATACAATATATATTTCAGTTTTTTCATGTAATATTTGTTTTATTTTATTTCAGCTTTATATCAATTCAATCAAAATGATTTAAAGGGGTCATATGATGCTGCTAAACATCTGCTGCCTACTTATACTCACGCTGTGATCAGCAGCAGCTGGATACAATAATCGCATGCCAATGTGCATTGGCTCGTTTAGTTTACACTCGAAGTGGATTGGTCTCTCTAAGCGAGATCCCAATTTCGTCGGTCATCCGACGTGACGTCGAGAGTGACCGACTGAAAGGGAACAAAGGATTTACATGAGCTTCATCCCGACAGCCGTGTGGCCCGGAGACAGAAGGGATGAATGATTTTACCAATTATTTATATGATTAGGCAAACAGCATAATCCTCTTGGCTTGATGTCTTATAAATGAGTGTTTCCTGTTAATATCTTTGCCGCAAGTTTGTTTCACACACCCATAAGGAAGTGGTGAGGAAAGGAGAGCATTGAAAGCATCTGTACGTGCGATCAGCCAGCGGAGGCGGTTCAAAGCACATGTCAGATGAAATGACGTTCCCATATGGAGCTTTAATGGGAATGATTAGGAGCGATGGCTGACTAAATGGACTCGTTTTGCTCTGACAGACCATGGGTTTGATTCACAGCAGCCACAAGAATGGAGCTGGAAAGAGAGAACAAAGCTTTCGGCTAATGATAGAGATCTTGTCAGAAGTCAGAATGCATGTTTAGTTTGGGGTCGCTAAGATAAAAAAAAATAATAAAAAATTATGAAGTCTCTAATGCTCACAGAGGCTGTGTTTATTTGATCAAAATACAGTAAAATCAGTCATATTGTGAAATATTATTACAAATATTAATACAAATATTTTTATTCGCCGTGCTGGATCCGCTCGATGAGTGATCGGAGAGTCAGAGGCGATCGGTCGGTGTTCCTGCAGGCACATGTAAGGTCAGAGGTCAAAGCGCTGTCGTTCTACTCAAGTCTCGCAGCGGCTCTGACTGATGGAATTTCCTGTTAACAGAGAAACGTTAATCCTCGCTGGATTTCTCCCGCTGTGTGTCTTTCTCCGATCCAAAACCTACTGAGCTGCAGAATTTAATGAGACTTGTGTTAAAATTAATTCAAGGGAAGTTCTCTGAACACATGTTATCATCTTACACAGTTTTGCTTCTTGTAAGTCAAAAATTATGATGTTATACCAAAAAAAAAAAAAGTATAGCGCGACTTAAGACTGGTTTTGTGATGCAGGGTCAGTATTCAAATCTTAGATTTTTACTAAGATCCTTCTATTATCTTTTGAACCCCCCAATAATATTTAAAATATTAGTAAGCTTAATATATATAAAATCATTTATTGAGTACTTTCAATTGGGAGGTGGCTGTCCCGAACCCTAACCCCTAAATTTCAACTTATGAAAATATTGAAATTTTTGTATTTTTCTTCCATTGTTGTTTTTAAAAGCATCTTTTTTATTCTTTTAAAAAGTGAAGTTCAATAAAATTATTTTATATTTTCTTTGTAAATTATAAAGCTTTATGTAAAAAAAAAAACGTTTCCCCCATTTTTCGTCACTACCGAAACAGTTTATGTTTTAGTCTGTTGGCTGAGACTGATTTGAACTAAACCCATAAATTTATGATCAGGAAATATTTATGTGTCCCTCTCTCTCATAGCTACAAGGTGTGAGTAGATATGTCCCATCATTTTGAGGTAAATTTAGTTTTTATATGTGTACCACTGTTCAGAACTGTGCTAGCTAGTGGTCGACCGATATTGTTTTTTTGACAGCCGGTGCCGATATCTTGGAAAGCAGGGTGGCCGATGACCGATATAAAGCCGATATAATTGTGTTTATTTTAATTAATATTTAAGAAATGTGAAATAATTTGAAAATGGATTAAAAAATTAATTTGTAGAATAAACATACTTATACTTTAGATGACAAAGTATTTTTCACAAATAAATAAATATTTAATAAAAATATAATTAAAAAAAGAAGTAAATACTGTAACCAACAGGGCACTCAGTATTCTGGGAAGTTTGTGTGCATTGGGAATTATATTTTTTTCAAATAAAGCCAAGGTAACACTCATTTTACATACAGCACACAGTGAAAATGACATGAGTATGACAGTGGGCAAATGCATAAAGCGAAGCATAATTTGAAATCAAAAATTTAATGTTTAAAGCATTCAATTTGCACGGACCGATCGTCACACAAGACAGAACTGTTAACGACGACAGAGAACAAGAGGGAGAATGTTAGCACTGTGTGCCCAGGCGCTGCCGTTCTCACCGCTGTCAAAATAAAAGTCTCGAACACATCTGCCAAACAGAAAAACTTATCGGCCGATGCCGATATTTGAAAAATGTCAAATATCGGCCGATATATCGGCCTTAAGTGATATATCGGTCGACCACTAGTGCTAACTAACCATGTGCTGATTAGCATCTTTGAGCTAGGTTCAAAATATCTAAAATTGTCCCTACCGAAACATTTGGTGGAGGTTCGGTAGTGACATCTTTGTTTTTCTGGGTGTTATCCCATAGAATTGTCACTACCGAAACAGTCACGACCGAAACATGTCATCATTGTTTCGGTAGTGACAAAAGGGAACACATAATCCTCATATTTGGGAGAAAGAAACAAAATTTTAGTACAGTTATGCAAATTGTATTTTAGTATGTTTTAGTATGCAAGTTAAAATTGTGTAATGTGATGTGGTTGCTACCAAAGCATTACTATCACTACCGAAAATGTGCAGTCACTACCGAAACATGGGATGTTTTGTCAAAAATAAAGTATACTGAATTATCAACTAAGATGTTATGATAGTTTTTGGTTCGATGAATCCATAACTTTGAAATCAGTATGATCAACTTTTTGCCTTTTACAAAGAAAAATTGGATTGAAAATACAACAAATCTCATAAATTACACTTGAAATATTGATAAAAAATTTCATTATTGATTAACCTCTGAAACAAATAAAAAGAAAATAGCAAAAATATATATATTTAAAATGTAGATGTAAGCAAAATCTTAATAGGTCAATATAACCCTTCTAATTAAATTATTATTACTGTTTCAGTAGTGACTAATTTGGGGAGAGGACAACTATTCCAAATTTTGTCTGAATTTACAGCTATTCCAAATTTAGTCTGAAAATGCAATATGAGAATTAACTGCACAATTACTAGAAATGTGTACCTTGGATATTATACTATTTGCATAAATATTTATATTTTTATTTATTTTTTCTCAAGACATTTCCAACTCTGACTTTGGACCAATTCTGTAGATTGGCCCATATATGTCTGTATTCTACTATTATTATTATTATTGTTGTTGTTGTTGTTGTTATGTTTTTATAATAGCCATATTGAGTGGTAGAAAACTGGTTTTCCTATTTTTATTATGCTAATATGTCATTATAATTATTATACTATTATTAATAATAATATTATTATTATTATTATTATTATAAAGATATACATTTTATGCGAAATCAATTTTTATTAGAAATATATTAGTAGTAGTAGTAGTATTTTATCATTTTTTATATTATATTATTGTAAATATGTATATTTTATTATGCTCATTATATTCATTATTTTATTATTATTATTATTATTATTATTATTATTGTCATATTAAATGGGGGAAAACTGGTTTTCCTTTTTTGTCCTTAGCATATCACATGGCTGAGCAAAGCAAAATAAACCTAATTGAAAATAAATAAATAAAAGTAATCAAAAATATAACAGAACAGCTGAGTTTACTGTCCGTTTTGAGTGATATGAAAGGTTATCAGACTTAATAAGCTGTGGTTTTACAGCAGCACATCCCATCGTAATGATTTCCTCCTGAGCTGCGTCACGCTCTGCTAGTTTCTGCCTTCCTCTGACCTTGAAGGCCTCGCTCCTCTTCTGTCTGCTTCCCTGATCCCGCAAACGTCTCCCAACTATTTCTGAAGCGCAGTCTGTCATAACTCATACTGCCAGTGAGTGAGAGAGAGAGCTACAGAGCCTCACATCAGTCTGCTTAGTTTGCAGGTTTGACTATTTCTCTGTCATCCGCATTCACTGCTGTTTGAATTGGTTTCTCAGCAGTTCCTGGTTTTACGTCTCCGCTGATTTATTCCCCTACCGCTCATTCTAGAGCTTTCTTTACTATAAAGACGGCTACTAAATCATTAAGTCACTAAGACATTTACTTTTATGACACAAAGTGAATCTTCCTCATGAATTCCAGACGTTTCTTGTTTTGTCGAGTGCAGTCATGTACTGGGGGTTTATGGTCTGTAAAGCCGTGCCCTATGGTAACTAATGGTAACAGCGGCTGGCATCTGCCCTTTGGAAGCTTCTAGAATCCTCATTTAGCTTTTGTGCAAAAAAGTACAATCAATATACACAAGAAAAAAAGTTCTAAATAAAAATGATAAATATTATTATAAATACAGTACTGTGTTTACTGTACTTAAAACATTATTACGCGCAATAATAGTTAATGCTTTTGAGCTTTTGGCAACAAATAAATACAATTAAAATATGTGAATAAAATATTTCATGAAACATTTATTTATTTATTTGCTAAATGAATACATGTAAAAAAAAAAAATTTATATATATATATATATACATCATTCTATTTTTTTAGTTTTATTTATCTGTTCGCAAAAGGACAAAATTTTTATTGACTGTAGTATAGACTATAGTATTGACTATTATGGCATGTAATAATGTTGTTTTCCTTTTTCTTTCCTTTTTCATATTTGCTACTGTACTGTATGTATAATAAAAAATAGGCCAGAGGTGGTTCTTGTATATTGATTGTTTTCTCTGGATGTGTCCGGCAGCACAAACTGTGAGGTTAATAGAGCAGCGGTCAAGGATTAGGCTTTACGTAACACATACTGATCTCTCTCATTAAGCGCTGTAATAAAAATCTAATCCAGCCCGAGACCTCAAAGAGGAAACCCGTAACTGTTCCCTGACCTGAAAATAAATGTTCTGATTTACAGCTGCAGGGTTTCTACTGGCTCTGGTTACTCGCATGTACTAAAACAGAGCTGGTCTGGGGTCAGTAAACTCTTAATGAGCACCGCTGCAGATCGTGTCCCGCTGTGTCACACATCAGCCTAAAAACTTTGTTTCATGCCGCAACGGTAGCTTGAAATAATACGCAGGAGTCTGAATGCTTCTGAAAGGCGTTTAACATGCTTTTAGGGATCCAGGAAGCTAAAATAAAGTTTGCACCGTACAGACATGATTTATGATCCGTTGGCTGATGGACCACCAGGCTTTGGTGATTTCCGCTCAAATTCGACAACTGACTCCTGGAAACGAGGTCTGCTACTTCAGGCCAGTTTTTTCACTGACAGCATTACCTAGTCAAATAAATCATGACCTATACTCACGTCAGTGTGTTTGGGTTTTTCACCATGTGTTTCTTTCAAAGTTGGCCACGGTGTTTTATGACGTAATATAAATTTTTCATGAACAAATGTTTCTTTTGGCATCAAATAAAAAATATATACAATAAACTCATGTAAAAATTTACTTTTTATTATTTTTTACATGTATTCATTTAGCTAATAAAGAAGTTTAAAAAAAACTTTATACACTATATAAAATTTAATACAATGCATACTTTCTTTTTGGCAACAAATAAAAATTTAAATATTATAAATAAATGTAAAAATAATTCATTGTTTACTTGTGATCATTTAGGAAATAAAAAATAAAAAAATCTACAAAATGTAATGTTACACATGTTAATAACATTTTATTGTAATATAAATATCACTTCTGAACATTTGTGAATGTTTAAGCTGTGCAAAATTAATAATTATAATTTACATTATATATATATTTATATATATGTCTGTATAATAATTACTTTTTGTTAATTCAACAAATAATTAGCTGTTCTTTAGATCTCCATAACTTTTTCAGAGAATAATGATAATTTGGCATGACACATTTTTTTGGCATGAAGATTTGAACTTTTAATTGCATCAGACTGGTGAACAAACCTTAAAGCCTTAATAATTCACACACACACACACACACACACAAAAAACTGTCATCATTTACTCACCCTCGTGTCATAAAGATATAAAAGCAGTCTCTTTCGACCTCATACGATGGGTTTGTGTGAGACAAAACAGCGTGAAGTTCACATCTGTCTTTATTGGCTGATGCTCCTCAGGTTCTCAGTTTGTGCCGCTGGGTCACATGCTCACCTTCAAAGTGGCCTATCAGATCGTCACAGGCCTGGCGTATCTGCACAAGAAGAACATCATCTTCTGTGGCCTCAAGTCCGACAACATCCTGGTGTGGTCTCTGGAGCTGGAGGACTCCGTCAACGTCAAGCTGTCCGACTACGGCATCTCGCGCCAGTCCTTCCACGAGGGAGCGCTGGGGGTCGAGGGCACACCCGGCTACCAGGCTCCCGAGATCCGGCCCGGCATCGTCTATGATGAGAAGGTTCGTACCGATCTTCCCCAGCAGCTTTAGTGAGACAGCAAAGGTCAAAGTCTGCTTGCTGCCTCAACTCGAGCTGAATTCAGATTCAAAGGATGAATGCTTTCTCAGTATCCAGTCTTTAAACTCCCGTCAGAAAGCGATGTTAATATGACTATATGCAAAGTACTGTTAAGATGTAGAAATTTCTTCGCGGGAATTATGCTGTTATGCATAACTAGAAGTTCATCAATGATTTAGAACTTTATGGCACAAATAAGACAAATTATTTATGAAATAATTAACATAAACATCACATTTCTGCTTTTAAACTCTCCAGTGCACTTTATTTTGTGTTTTATACTTTTTTTGGGGGGGTTTTCTCCAATTATTGAGCCCCAGGATGCTACTTCAGTATTATTTATATACCATGATAGTATTTCTTAATATTTTAAATTAGCTTTTATTTTTATATTAAGTTTTTGTTTTAATTAAAGTTTATCATGTACTTTTATGTTTTTTCATGTGTTTTTGTTTTTTTTATTAGTATTTATAAATAATTGTATTTAGTTTTCATTTATTTTTTTATATTGGCTTTATTTCAATTACTTTATTTCTAATTATTTAAAATTATCTGTAATAGTTTTGGCTACCATTTATGCTTATAATTGTTTAAATTAATATAGTAATTAATACTTTTGACTTAAAAATGGTTTAAAGGCTGAAATATAAAGTTTATCATTTTATAAAACTTTTTGTTTTTGTGAAAACTTGTATCTGAACTGTAAATTATGCTTTTTACAGTAATTTTACAGTTTAATATGGTACTATAGACATTGCCCTACCCCGCTCATATGATATTAATTTTATTTGTGCAGGTCTTAATGTCTTAAAAAGGTCTTGAATTTGAGCTTAAAAATCCTGCAGAAACCCTGTTCAAATTGTTATGCTGATGATATATTTTGTAATGGGGAAAAACTGTGTTAAATTAAAACTGTGTTTGGGCGTTTCCTCTGCAAATATAACACGGAAATACAGATAGCTTTTTTAATAAATTATTTGCGATCAGTAAAAAGGTGATAAACTAGGAAATGGCTCAAGGAAGACCCTCCAACTAAATATGAATGGCAAGAAGTTGTAGACAATGATAAATCTGACCTTTTCAAGATAAAATTACTGGAGGAGATGGTTGTTAATTGTCGAAAATATTACATTCGTTGTTTAGGCTAATATAATAATGAATATCTGGGAGTATTATATTTTATTTTATTTATTTTTATCAGACCAAATGTGAAAGGTTGTGTGTGTATAATTTAGGTGGCCTAAGAAAAAAATATTGAGAAATAATATATGAGAGAGAGAGAGAATATATATATAGATAGAGAGAGAGAGAGAGAGATCATACATATGGAAAAAGTAAATATAAATGCAAATTAGAATAATTTTCAGTGCTATCAAGACTTTTTTCTGTTTCATGGAAGACAATGTCATACAGGTCCTTGAATATAAAACAACAGGATTCATTTAGTGGCATTTCTCCTAGTCTCCTAAGAGGCATTTTAATTAATTATTTGATTAATGTCATTGCTAATCGAATCATTAGCGTGTAATAGCCTTTTAACGTGAGATATCTGGACTCAAGAAAGATCGAGAGTAAAGAGTCTCTGTAGATCCTCTGTGTGTGTGTGCGTGCGTGCGCGTGCGTGTGTGTGTCTCACAAACTACTTCCTGCTCTTTCGCATGCCTGCTCTGTGATGTCATTTCAGGCTACCGAAACTGAAGCGAAATGTGGAAATGTGCCTTTTTTCCTTTGTGTTGGCAAAGCCGAGCGCCCTAAAAATACAGTCCCGGTTTGACACGGCTCTCGTCAAAGCACATGTCCATTTATAGAAATGACCTAGAAAGACATTTAATAGAAATACGTCTGGCGAATGAACCACAGCAGTGAAGTACGATCTGCTGTGTCAGAAATCATGACTTCATTCTTCCTTTTGTTGACTCATCCTTTGCTTTTCCATCTCTCCTCACATTTCACCATCACCATAAAGTCTGGGCCACATTTTCACTGCAAAAAAATTATTTTCTTAGTCAGTATTTTTTATTTGTTTTCCTTTGCAAATATCTAAACATTCTTAAAAGAGTAACTTTTACAACAAGTGGCTGCCAGTATGAACATAATATTGAGTTAATTGTAGAGAGAAAACTACCTACTATTAATTTTGACTAGTTTATAATGTCATTAATTTAGTTAGTTTTTTTAGCTGAATAAATAAATTCTGTTGGATAAAAAAAATTGAATATTGCAT